CAAATTTGACTTCTGGGTAAAGACCGACTATCTTGAACGCGCTTCTGGTATGAAGCAGACTGATATTTCTCGTGCTTACAGTGGATTTTGGTAACGTTCGAGAAGATCTTTTGTGTGTGTCTTCGTTGCTTGTTATCTGCTAGATTATGACAGAACTCTAAGGAATGCGCGTTTCCCTTGCTTCATCTACAAAAAAAGAATATTACATAGACTCATCCACTAACCAGCCACGATGGTGTGTCTCAAGTGATCTCTAAGAATTTTCCTGACAATTGACCCCAAAGGAGATGACAGAAGAAGCGGCGTCAACTAGAGCGCCTTGTCTCGTGACTACTTAACGATGAAAAGGGAGAGAAATTTCTGAAGCTGAGAGGCCCTTGCCATTTGTCACTGGAAGCCTAGCCAAAGTGGGAGCATTATGAGTGAGAGCCATTAATGATAACATCGAGATATGTACGCCGGGACCGTTTCTGGATCTTTCATCGAAGCTTGAAAAAAAAAAGGTGAAAGTGTGTTTCCATTAGTGATGTCATGATTAGTAATGCAAGAGAGTGCGGACTATTCCTGGACTCTTCAGCTAAGTTTTTTGTTGTTCTTTTCTATCACCTTAAGAAATTGTTTTCATTCTTTTATTCTAACGATTACAGGAACCTGTTTCTCTTATCATTGTTTTAGAAGTCATGTTCCATGAAATTTGGACTCAGTCAGAATGATGTTGGTAAGAATTAAAAAAAATACATGTATTAAGGAAATGTATATAGGAATTTAAATAATACGTAGGTCTAAATTAATCAAGTAGAAAATTATGTAATCTTACTATCTTTTTTTAAATTTATATGTTTAACTTTCTTTATAACCTCCAAAGGATTTAACATAAAAATAATATCTAATGTCAGTTGATTTGAATATAATTAATAAATAAACGTGCAGTTTAAATGATTATTGTATGATTTGCGTTAATTGAATGGTAGGCTAATTTGGTTAAAAAAATTTTGTTTCTACTATGAATTAAGATTTTTATGACAATTAAAGGGAACCTGAATATTAACAAAGCCATTTCCAGCGGCAGCTCCCGGGTGCGAATACACAACACTCAAGGTACAAATGAAAACTATACGATCACCTTACAATAGTTCTTATGATATATGAATTTGATTTGTTTTGATTTTCTTTTGAGTTTTGTCCGGCACCATGTGTTAAGTTGCGTCAATGTTAAAAGTCATAAGAGTTTTACAAACCCTAATTTTCAGATATTTAACAATAGTCAATTTTCGCTATTTAACAATTTTATGTACGATAATGATATTGAAATATGCTTAATTTCGGAAACACATGCCATCCCTGGGGATAGACTTAATATTAAAAACTGCAGATCCTACCGATATGATCGACTGCGTCATAGAGGTGGAGGTGTGATTATCTATGGGCATTGTAATTACTCATCATGTCTCATTTCTTTCACTAGGCATTTTCTAGGCATCGAAGTAAGGACTGCAAGATTGTGGTTATTTCTATTAATTTGCCCAAATTTGGTGACACATCGTTTGCTGCAATTTACATCCCGCCGACTAACAGGCTGTCTGAGGAACTGTTAAAATGCATCACTCCCGACTCTTCGAATATTATTATAGTAGGACACTTGAACAGTAAACAGACAAACTGGGGCTGTCGGAGCACCAATCATAATGAGAAGGCTCTGAAGGAATTCATAGTAAATCATCCATCTGGTATCTTTGCGCCTAACGCACCCAAATTTATGCCGCGTATCGCAGGATACACTCCAGACATCTTAGACATCATTTTGTCTAACACCAGCATAAATATGATTTTGGAAGTTCAGGATGATCTTAGCACAGATCACAGCCCAGTACTGGATACTCTAGGGGTCGGGAGCACAAATTATTCTACTACGAAGATATACGCACACTGACTGGATGATGTATCATAATGTAGTGAAGAAGCAACTCCCTAGACTTGGAGTACTGAAAACCCCCACGGACTATTGACTCTTTCACTATTGACTATTGACTATTGACTATTGACTCTTTCACTTCATTTCTAAACGACTCGTACTTCGAGGTTACTAAAGTCACTCAAGGGACTGAAAAGATTGCTAAATTTCCCAGATTCATTAAGGCTCTTAAGGCTGAGAGAAATAGATTACGCGTGTGTTATAATATTACTTGGGATCCGAATACGAAAATAGAACTTAATAGGATCAGTAAACGTATCAGGAAGGAAATTCAAGAATTTAAGAGAGAAAGCTGTAATGATAAAATTCTAGAGCTTGAGATGGATTGCGACTCCTTTTGGCGTTTCACAAAAATGCTAAAGCGCACATACCAATGTGATAGACCAGTAGTGGCGAATGGAGTCACAGCTGAATCTGACAATGACAAATGTCAAGTGTTTGCCAATCACATAAAGGAGAAATTTACCCCCAATATGACACCTTGCAATAATCAGTTTGTTCAGAATGTTTACAACGAGGTTAATGAATGGCTCCGAATTCCTACTGCACTCAACGCAAGTGGATTTACGACTTTGAATGAGGTCACAAAAATGATCTCCAAATTAAATCTTAAAAAGGCACCAGGAGTAGGCGGGTTTACTAACCTCATGATCATAAATTTGCCCAAAAGTGGTATTACAAGGCTCATTAGAATTTTTAACGACTACATCACGTTATGTTGATTCCCAGAAAGCTGGGAATATGCCAAGATATTTCCCCCCCCCAAACTTGCAAAAGATATTACAAAAGCTGAAAATCACAGGCGATTAGTCTGCTTCCTAACCTTGCTAATTTTCGACAGAATCATTCTGAACAAGTTTCAACATTATTTATAGTTCCTACTTGATGAGCAGTATGGTTTCAGGAGTGAATTGTCCACAGCAAAGCCACTCATCAAGCTAGTAGTTTCTTTCTGAATTACTTAAAAAACTCATTATTTGTTATTTTGAATAAAAATTAGTTAATTGTTCGTCATGTAATCTGATATCTAAATAAACAAGCACTTGGGCCACATCTGACCAAATATATTCAGTAAGAAAATTAAACAAGTTTAAACAAATCAGGCATGGGCTAGATTAAAGGAAAATAAATAAAGAAATAAATTACGTAGGAAACCAGAGAGCAAAATACTGGAAAAAATGAAAGTATAATATTCAGTTTAAAACGGCGAGGTATGAAAACTGTAATAATTTTAGAAATCATACTAATTACAATTAGCTTAAGTAATACAATCCAAAAATAAATATATTTATTACAAACAACTGAAGTAAAATAATAGTTGGGGGGTCTATTTTTTTCTCACGTTATGTGTACAGATGTTTTTCGGATTGCATTGTCAGATTTTCTGGTGTTTGATTCGTCATGGGTGTGTCATTTTCTCAATTTAGATAACATAAAATTCCGGCATTGGTAAGATTTAATTTTATGATTTTTTTTAAAAGCCTATGAACTTACAGAGGCGGAGAAACCGAGATTTCCTGGGTGCTTGCACCAGGCTAGAGATTATTCTGATTCAGATTTTCAGAGCCAAAAGGAAAAGGAGAAAAAGAAAGTTTTGCGGGGCTGACCCTTCGGGTTTGCTGGGCGACCACTTGTACATGTACAAGCGGGCTGCGGTGATGGTTTGTAGCGGAGTCGGATTTGAGTGAATTTTGGGCAGCCGCGATGTGAAAGAGAAAGAAAGATCGTGGGGCGCTTTGCTCTGCTGCGGGCCTTCCTGAGCCAGAGGGAACTGGGTACCGTTTTTCTTTGCTCTAGAGGATTCTTTTTCTGCGGGATGTTTAGAAGTTTTGTGCGAGAGATGCAAGGAACATTTTCCTTGCGTGATGTATGGAGAAATGGTGCGCGAGCTGCAAAGAGCATTTTTACTGAGAGCTGATTGAGATGTATAGAGAAAAATCTACCAAGAAAATTTAGCACAGATTTTCTCTCTTCACCTGAATCGCCGGTTAATCTCCAAGAGCCTTTCTCCGAAACATTCAGCATAAAATGCTGCCTCGCCGCTTCGATGATGCACGTGATTCTGCTAAAAACTGGTGTATATTCAGCTACTTGTTATTGAATTGAAAAAAGATCCTTCTGAATTTGACTATTGGTTCCCACCTAATAGACAGATAAAGCGATTCCTGGCTGTTTTAAGTATTATTAGACTGTAACTTCCACTTGTGATTCCTAATGATTTTTAGACGCTTCAGAAAGGGTTGTCACAGAAAGAAGAATGGGCTTGGCTCATTTCCATGTGGATTGGACACTAAGGATCCTGATAATCAGGAAAAACCGTTTTCCATCTGTGAGTGAAATTTTTAAGTATATTTTTTCTCTCTCTCTTTCTTAGTGTTCCCGAATGCAGAACAGTTAATAATGTTTTATCTACTTGTATATTGTTATTACTTATATAAATTAAATATTACCGTTAGTAAAATTGGGAAGTTATTTATAATTTCAAGTGAATGCCAGTTTTAGGAGGATTAAATTTTGTTACACCTACTTAATTTGAAAAAAATAATGTTAATCTTAATTAATGTAAGCTGTAATTTGGTGTAGTATTATGTGTTATTTTGGCTTAGAAAAAATATGTGGTAGGATTACTGATCAGTTATCCATTATTTAATTATATAAAGTAGTCAAGAATTTAATAAATGTGTGTTTAAAATTTAATTGAATTTGTGTATTTATGTTGTGTATCTTTTACTGTGGTCTGTCATGTCCCTCCACTTGTTTGAGCCGGAAAGCTTTTAAGAAACATGGAGTTTAATTGAATTTGGAGTTATTGATTTTTCCTTGGCATAGGTTACTCACAACGCAACCCTAAAAGTTAAATAGTATTACCACTATACGAATGTTTATAAGAATGTCGATATGATGTATGAAGAATGTGAATTATTTGATGTTGGATTTTTTTTTGTTAATTTATACGGCACCACAGTCAATCAGTTAAGTTTAAGTTATAAAGAAATAAGGTATTAAAACATCCCTTAACATGTTTCAGATATAACAATGGTCCTGATCCACTTCTCTTCAATGGAAACCTCAGTTATGAAATTTATGTAACCAGATTACCAGTTTTTTAAATTGCCTCTCTTCCGTCTTCCGTTCTGAATCCTGATGGACAGTCAACTTGCATTCGCTTGATCCAGTTTACTTCAATGGAAACCTCAGTTATGAAATTTATGGAACCAGATTACCAGTTTTTTAAATTGCCTCTCTTCCGTTCTGAATCCTGATGGACAGTCAACGGTATCCACTGGCCTGAATTAGCTGTTACATGTTCCTGCCAGGAGACCTCGGTCTTGGAACCTCAGTTGGGTGATATTAAATTTTTCTTGTTATTTCATTAAATTCAGATATTTCTTAATCTTAAAATCTGCAAGATCTCGCGCTGTTACAGGTGTTACAGGTGTTGTTGTAAAGTTAATTGTTAAAAAAAAAAAAAAAAAAAAAAAAAAAAAAAAAAAGAGGGTTGCTCTTTCAATTAAATTTAAAAAAAATGAGTTATGCATAAAGTGAATTTTATTTTGTTTGGAATTATTGATGTTAATAATATATATCCCAGTAGTTTTCCAAAAAAAAAAAGAGAAGAAAAATGAATTTTGTTCGTTATCATTATCTTTATTATTAGAGTTATCTGAAAAAAAAAATAATATTACAAAGTTCTAAAAGTTCATTCTTAAAGAAATTACCTTGTTTTCTTGTCGCTATTATTATTATTTGAAGAACCGTAAAAGTAACTGAATTATTCAGCTAAAATTAATGGTTAAGGTTCAGAATGTGAAAAGTTATATCTTGTAGTTCTGCAGTAAAGGAGTGTTCTTTGAAACCTAAATTAGTGCTAATAGTCTGTACATTAAGTCATTACTCTAGTATAAATTCTGTGGAAAATAATTCCTCCTGGAAATTTTTGTTAAGGTTGCTCTCATTTTATGTGTGTGCAATAAGGGTGTAAATTCAATTATATCTGAAAATTTTTGAAAATTGTTCTATAGAAAACCTGTTAAGCAAATGTCTAGAAATATGTTACAGTTAATAGAATTAATAATGGCATTAATTTTTTATGTGCAATATTGAGAGATAAGTCTATTAAAAAAAGTAAAGCCTTTTTGTATTAAGGATCAATTTTTACAAATTAGAGATTATCTTATGTTGAATATTTTTTTTTGATATATCCCGGGAATGTCTTTAATAACTATAATACCTATTTTATTTTTTTATATTGATTCTATCCTATGATATTTTAAATTGAAGGATGTTTTTTTTCCAATAAACAAATTTGTTTTCATTGAAATATTTAAGTGTATTATTATTATTTTTTTTTTATTTACTCATGTCATTTCACCAGGTCACCAAAAAAATGAATTAAGGGTTAATCCGATTACACAACGCAAAGCTAAGTAAATGTTTTGGCTTATTGGGATTAATACATATAACTGTTCTTAGAAAAATTTAAGTGTTAGTATCAACTGAGTAGGAAGCCTTTCAGGTACCTTACTTATCGAACGACACAACAGCAGAAATCAAAGCAAAGTGCCCAGGATTCACCAATCGACAACGTTTCTTACATCATGACAATGATTTGCACCTCTATTTCATACCTGATACTCAAATGAAGACTGAGTATGTCTAAGATGTCCGGTGTTACCCCTCTGGCGGTATTCATCAGACCTTGCCACTTTGGATTTTCATTTTTTCAAAACATTTCAAAATTCTCGGAATAGTCTTCAGTTCATTTCTTTGGAGATTTTCAAATAACATTTTGATAATTTATCTACGAAAAACCTGATGACTTTTTAAAATAAGGAATTTTCTAGTTGGCGGAGAGATGGAAAAAATAATAGAATAAAGTAGTGTTTATGGAGTTCAACGAAATTTTCTTATTTTCTTTTTACTGCTTCATTCGGATTTATCATCAGAAGGCCACATTATGTTCAGGAGGAGATATGACAACAGCTTTATTAGACTGTTGCTTTAATTAACCTTCTGAGCGGCCAGGGTTTTCGCTCTAAGAAAGCACAAATTTCCCAAAATTACTAGGGGAACAAATTATTATTATTTTTTTTAATTTTAATGTAAAAAGTCTCCTGGTATTTCATACCTAGATTTGAATACTTTTGATATATTGCCTTAATTTCTTTGACATATTTTAATATGCACGTATATATACGTTCTTACAGATATCACAAAAAGTATTCTAGGCCATATATATACGGTATGCCGCTTAGAGGGTTTTTAAATATACTTTGGATTTAAAACAGAAGAATGTAATTGTAATAATTAATATGGTGGGTGTGCAATAACCCAGAAATACTTGATAACGTGCAGGATGGAATGTGTGATTGAAAAAAAAAATATGGAATTAAAGTAACTTACCCCCAATGGATGACACTTCAAATAATGTGAATTAAGAGAAATTTATTATATCTTGACATCGTGAAATTTTAAATTAATACCAGTATAAATCAAGAAAACATCGCCAGGCAGAAGATAATAGACAGTGGTAATGCAGCTGCAGTAAATGTGAGTCCTACCATTTTGAAACCTAACCTTTCGTACAAGAAATGCGTAATATTCCAATCAAAGTAATCTCAGTTCATCTTCGATAAGCAAAGTTCCATGATATCAAAAATCAATTTTTATAACGGAGGAAATTGAGATGACTGGTTATTCCAATATAGTTTTGAAGAAACACAAGGCGAATTTCCGCACCATTTGGAACGAGCAACACGTGCACATGAATTTCTTTCGAGGATATTTCAAGTCGTAGAACATCATTAGATTACTGCAGAAGTCAGCATCTAGGCAAATTTAGTTGAATCTTCAGTACCCAAATTCTATTTTCTAGGCAAAATGCATTCTCTTCAAACTATATGGAGTTGGTCGTCAGAAAGATCGCACGAAAAAGAACAAAAATTGCAGACATGCGTCATCCTCGGTGAGAACGGCCAGAAGCCGTCCTACACCTTCGGAGAACAGCAGCAGCAGAAAGAAAACCGGTTGTAGTGGTCAAACTCACTCTGTCATTGAGCGGTCGCAGTGAACAGACTTGATGTTGAATAAATGTGGAGGCTTGCCTGCACAGTAATTCATATGGAATACCCTGCCATAAAATATGCAAAACGTGATCATACAAAGGAAAGCAGTGCATGAAATTGCAGATACATTGCATTGTATGATCACTGCCCTTCTGTTCTTTTTTAAGAATGTGTATAACAAATCTAATAATTTTAATTTTCGATCCGAACTTTAGCTACCGCTTCTCTAAAATTGCGTCTGATACTTAAATTTTAATACTTCATTTCTATTAAGAAGTAAGATATTGAATCATTAATTCGCGTATTTTTTCAGTGTTTAATTTTAAAATGGTTTATATCTGTACCTGAAAATTGCTTATTTTAACATGGAATGGAAATTATAATTTAAGGTTCACTATGAACATATTGTTGCGTGCTTATGGGTTCTTAATACGAGTAGATTGAATGCACAAGGCTCATAATAGGTTAATAAAATTTATTCTTATCAGAAAAAATGTATCAGACCATTTGATATCAAAATGTGAATCTTCCTCAAAGATATTCGTAAAAGTATTCACAATATCACGCAGTATCATCAGCAGTTATACTTCAAATTGCTAAAAACATTAAACTACAACGCAATGGAAAGCGCATCTGAAGAGAAAGCTAGCTCTGATATTTCAGTTTACAAGGAACTAAAAACTCGCAACATATGTAACTAAGCAACTAAACCGATTCGCTCTCTCTCCGGCCATTTATAGCTTTCAACCAGTCGCTAGATTTCTAATACTTTCTGTTTCACCGGAAAGCAATAAGAGGATGGATTTACGGTTACGGCTAACATAGTGATCAAATATAGTTATTCAGTTTCAATACAAATTACCTAGATATCCATTTACTCAATGTTAAATGCCCGTGCCTCTGTAGTCTTACGTTTCCGGCATGGCCTTCTCTTAAAATTTGTCTCGCGCTGCATTTCACGGGAAAATACAGCAATTTTACTTACAATTCTACTAAAATTAGCTATTTAAATACAAAATTCGTAACAATACTCAGTTAACGTTACTGCCTGTTTAAAATAAAATTTAGAAAAGTGCATTATTAGTTGTGAACGTTATGATTAAAATAGCATTTTTTCGAGTGGCATTAGTGTTAAAATGAATTCAGTGAATTTTAGAGAGAAGAAAGATCATATTAATCAATTTTAAATTTTGAGAAAACCATTGTTTCAATTCTTCACGATTCTTCAACAGAATATATCCTCATTATCCAGCATAAATTGAACTAAATAATGATGACTTATTCTAGTAACATAAATTTAGAGGTAAACTTTTAAAGAAGACGCTGCTAATCAAAAACTTAAATTTTATTCCAGATCTGGAATAAAATTCATATTTGTGGATTAAAAATTTGGAATGTTTGTTACAAGACGGAAGCAATTACATCATATTGAAATCAGTATGTAATTTATTTTCTGTAAGAAAATTAATACGTTATTTTATCTTTGTAATGAAGCAATAATAAAATAAAAAATTCGATACCGGTTATTCGATACCCGCATAAAAAATTCGAACCGGATAAGTTAAGATACCCATGCACTGTTTATATTTTTTGTTGTCTAAGTATCAAGAAATTTTTTGATCGATAATAAAAATTCGCAATTATAGTATTTGGACTTTAAAAAAAAATTCCCAAACGATGTATTATGGTGATTATTAGAGGATCACTCAGGTGGTGCTGTACGGGTAAGTTTTCTGAGAGAAACGTAATCATTTAGATGTAATATAGATAATATTTGTTTAACTAAATCTACTCTGTGGTAGAACTACTCTAAATAAATAAATTTATCCAGCATAAATTGAACTAAATAATGATGACTTATTCTAGTAACATAAATTTAGAGGTAAACTTTTAAAGAAGACGCTGCTAATCAAAAACTTAAATTTTATTCCAGATCTGGAATAAAATTCATATTTGTGGATTAAAAATTTGGAATGTTTGTTACAAGACGGAAGCAATTACATCATATTGAAATCAGTATGTAATTTATTTTCTGTAAGAAAATTAATACGTTATTTTATCTTTGTAATGAAGCAATAATAAAAATAAAAAATTCGATACCGGTTATTCGATACCCGAGCAATAAAAAATTCGATACCGGATAAGTTAAGATACCCAATGCACTGTTATATTTTTTGTTGTCTAAGTATCAAGAAATATTTTTTGATCGATAATAAAAATTTCGCAATATATAGTATTTGGACTTTAAAAAAAAATTCCCAAACGATGCTTATTATGGTGATTATTAGAGGATCACTCAGGTGGTGCTGTACGGGGTAAGTTTTCTGAGAGAAACGTAATTCATTTAGATGTAATATAGATAATATTTGTTGAACTAAATCTACTCTGTGGTAGAACTACTCTAAATAAATAAATTTATCATCATAACACTGATTTTTATTAAGAATACTTGTAGAGACATTAGGTAATTTTTTGTAAGCATTAGATTTGAGAAATGAGCAAACGCTTTTGCCGGAAATAGAACTGCATATCTCTGGAATACGCGCCCAGGTTGCAGACCACCAGACCCTGAAGGCATGCCAAGAAGGCGGAAGTACTACCTTATATACTTTCATGTGGAAAGAAAAGAAATGTCGAATGTTTGAAATTCTCATAATCAGAATTGTAAAATAAATCATGTTCCTAAATTTAAAGCATATTTTAAGACAAGCCATCGATTTGGTAAAGAAATGAAAAAAGAAAAAAAAAAAATTATTGAAAAAACAGCAATATAGAAATATTTGATCCTAATCTTACCTTTAACGGTAAACCAGGTGAATAAATAGTTAAATTTCCTATGGGAATAGTTTACCTGATGCTGATTAAGTTATCTATTGGAAAATAAAAATCAACATACTCGAGAGTTTCACTCAAGTGTGTCCTACTTCAAGTTCTCCGACTCTGAGCTTAAGTTTAATTTTTCAGAATGATATTTTATATTATTTTAATAACTGTAGCAGCAGGTAAGTTATTAAATATATAGTATCATTTGATATTTTTAATGAGTAAAGTGATGAATGCTCATGAAGAAATGTTTCCAGTTTAACTTTAAATTATCCATAAAGGCAACATTTCTTTAAGAAAATAGCCCATGTATTATACTTGTTTAATTAAACGAATTAATAACATTTTTCAACATAAAATTTTGTGTTATTAAAGCTTGCGCTCAATAAAATATTAAAAATTTTTCCGTCTGTTTTTGAGCACAGCATAGCAGAAAAGTGACTTATTCTTAAAACGAATACAATTAAGGTGCATTTGAATGTATAGAAAAAAAAATTAAAATACGGATTTTAATGAATGTTTTTCATTACAATAATGTTCCTAGGACCATTTTAAAGTTTTTTTAATTTTTTTTAAACGTATACGTCTAGCACACGATAAACTTATAAGGAATTTTCTTCTTCCTTTCAGTATGCCTTCGTGGTGTAACTCAAAGTACACTCTAAGAATATTTGGGAAGTTTAGATTGCGAATCCGGCTCGGGGTATTCCATATTTCTTGCTGTTTCAGAGCTGATATAAACTAATGATTTTACAAGTAAATCAAGAAAATAACAGTTTTATTCTAAAAGACTTTTAGTGTCGAAACACTATTTTGCGTTTCTTCACTTTTCATTCGATTCTGTCACCATTCTGAATAGCGTAAGGCATTATTCTTAATTATTAATACATTACTGATTAACAAAGTGCACTGTTTAAAAACGCTAGATGGATTTTTTAAAAATATTGGGTATTAAGGAAAATCTCCCGCTAACGAAAATATTGGTGGCGCAAAATTCACAATGGCGTGTTTAATCAGATTTTTGTCAAACGATTTCTGGCATTTCAAAGAAAGAGACTTCCTTTAGAACACTGTGTTGTGAAATTTGTAAAACAATATTGTTACCATTAAGTACAAGGTGTCTAAAATGGAACTATCAAGCTACCAGATTAGAGCCATCATTTACTTCCTGTTCTGCTGCAAACAGTCTTCTACAGAATTTCGCCAAATATAGCTTTAGATACTAATGTTCTGTCATATGACACTGTGAAGGTTCGTGGCTGAAAGTGCAAAAACAAGGACTACGACATTTAAGAAGCAGAGACCTCTGGCCGACCTACTGATGTTGATGAGGCCCGCCCGCGAGAACTTGCTAAAGATAAGTATGTAACTACTGATGTTGATGAGGCCCGCCCGCGAGAACTTGCTAAAGATAAGTATGTAACTACTCGAAAGCTCTTCTAAGGAGTAGACGTTAGTGCCATGTACATTAGTCACGCTATACGATGGATGAACTTGATGTAGTAGTTCAATCGCGGGTGCCCCATGAGCTGACTCAAGCAGATAAGAACAGAAGTGTTCGGGACTGCACTAATCTGCTCGATTATTAACGCAAGTACAAAATTCTTGACCAGATCATCACTTGTGATAAAAGGTGGATTTCCTTCAACAACACAAGCCGAAAAGGGGTTTTGTCTGAAGCCGGTGATTCCATCCGCAGCGTCGCAGAATGCAATTTGTCTAACAAAAAGATCATGCTTTTTTATCTGATGGAATTTCCGTGGTACTATCCACCAGATTATCTGAAGAAAGGCAAAAACCTGAACAATAAGGTGTACATTGAGATATTAATTAGTGTTGATGCTGCTATCAAAGTAAAACATCGAACTGTGTTCCAGAGCGGAAATGTGAGTTCCATCAAGATAATGCAAGACACATACACTTCTGCATTCTCTGTACGTACTGGAATGGGATCTTTTGCCACACCCACCATATAGCATCGACATCGCTCCTTCAGACATCTACCCTTTTAACATCTGCAGGTACATCTTGCTAGCGCTTATCTTCCATTCTGCACAGGATGTCCTAAATGAGGTTGATGTGTTTTTGGACTCACATGGCCAACACGTTTCTGGCCCGAAGGCTTTGAAAAACTACGAAAATCTTGGCAGATAATCATGTATTTGGGTGGTCCCGCACTAAAGGCTCTGCTTTCATGTTTTTTCTAAATTTATTAAGAACTTTTTTTGGCTGAAAACTTTCGTTGCAATCACATATCTTTTTTTTTTTTTTTTTTTCTTTTACTTTTCAATCTGATTGATTTAAATAAAAATTCAATTAATTCACGATGTATCGAATTTTAAATAAAATATTTTTATAGAATTACATTATATTTCATTCACTATTTTAAATGTACATTAGCTTTATGATGTTTCCATGTTAGACTAAATGTATATTCATCAGATATCCTATAAAATGTGTCGCTACTTCACCTGGATCATCTCAATTGAGTCCTTTTCAGCTATCTTTAGATCTCTTTGAGCTATCGATAGCATTTTTGAGCTATTGTTAGAAAAAAATTTGAATTCCTTCAGTGTTTAACATTTGTTGGTTGTAATTAAACTATCTTTTAATAATCTGATGCATCATATAATGTAATTAAGTTCCAACAAATGTGCATGTTTTAAGCTAAGCTTAGGTAAACGCGCAAAGAATTTCAGAACACAGATAGCTTTACCTTACCTGTATCCTTTCTTTGGAAATTAATTAAACTTTAAGAAGACCACTCTAATCATAGTAAAATAACTGATCACAAGGTTTTTTTTTTTTTTTTTTAAATCACAAGGTATTTTGTTATACAAGTGTAAATAATGTTCAAACAAAAACGAGGCCTTCGTAGCTCTGTGCATCATTCAGTACCTCCCAAAATTAATATTATTGCTGATTAGCTGCAAGATAAATCACCTTTGAAGTATTAAACATTGGGAAACATAATGTTACAGTATTTTTGTCATTTTCGCTTATCCGTGCTTCGCACACCAACGATGCTATTTCGAATACCAGAGCTAACTGGATAAAACCACTTAAAAATACTCTATGCTTCCCTCTAATAAGTTTTTCTAAAGCATAATTCTGGAATTCTGTTTTACTGAAATTTGCAATACCATTTTGATATTTTCTTTATAACATTCGAAGTGTTATATTGTGAATTTTATTTTAAAATGCTGTCTTAGTCTTAAGAAATTCATATTGCTCAGTCATTCTTTATTTCTCATTAAAATCATTGCTTCCATTGTACTGTTTTATTCATTATACATATTATTAATTTGCATTGATTATTGTCTTCAAAAGAGATTATTGTAGAATCGGTACTTACTGTCTAGGAATATGATGTCTGTAAACTTACTCCTTTTGTGGCCGTCTAGGGCTTAATAAACTAGTCCGATTTATGGAAAACTCGATAATTTAATGAAACATGAATAGTTGCTACAAACTACAAAATGATTACATGTGTAGAAGGAAATAGATGATATTTACAGATGAAAGAGAATCGACCGTCTTTTACATGTGAACATCTTTCAGTCGCATCGTCGTCTTAATGGCAGAATCGTCTGACTTCATCATCGAAAAAGGTAAAAGATTTATTTTCACAGCTTGTCGCGTCATCTGATTATAATGAACGATGCCATCTCACAAATGCTCGTCCATCCTGATGGAATGCGGCCTCGCATTCTCGTAGCACCACTGTCTACATCTAGGGATCTGGAAAATAAAATTAAAAAAAAAAAAAAAAAGATTTTTTAGTTACTATTGAGGGAAAAGTCGTCTTAAATGGTTTATTTCAGCCATCTTTTCTCATCATCTTAACATCCTCAGAAATAACGGCGTTAGCTCTTCTTAAATGCTCTTTCAGTGTTCGTTCATCTTTAATAGTCTATCTGAATACATGTATTTTACAAACACGTCTTCCTTTGATGTTGTCTGGAACAATTCATCTTCGTATTTGCGTCTTCTTAAACATCATCTGAATACGTCTTCTGAATGCGTCTTTTTAGATACTGTCTGGATACGTCTTCTGAATGCGTCTTAGATATCTTCAAGATCTGTCATTCGAATGCGTCTTCTCAAAATCATATTCTTTAAGCCGTATTTCTTCATACATTTCATCCTTAGACATCATCTTCAGTCTTCTTAAATTAGTTCACGTCTTTAAAACAATAGTCCATTAGTCAAATCGGGAGAAATTCGTCTAGTCGAGAAAAAGTCTAAATCAGGAATCATCAAAATCGTTATTTCATTATCAAAGATTTTCAGTTTTCTTCCTGGATCTTCTGAATCTGCTTTTTCGCTTTTTTCTCACCTTCTTTAATTTCTTTTGTTTCGTCTCTGCTTTCCATATCAGCGTCGTTGTAATCAGGTTTTCTGCCTGACTTCTGCTTTTCAATCTTCTCTTCTTCTTCGGTGGTCTCTGTAGTTTCTTCGTTTCCAGTGGCTTCTTTTGCTTCTCTATTCCAAGGTATTTTACTGAAATTTTTCTAGTAGAATTCGCATTTGATTCATCACCTTTAGCAAATAATTCTTCTTCGGGGAAAGTCTTCTCTTCAGAATCTTCTTCTGCAGTGGCGTTTCTCCTTGTTGGCTTCAGAGCTAATTGCATTGTGCTTGAGTTTCCTTTTTGCACTAATTCATCTTCAATAATATCATTTTCATTTACATCAGAATCTGAATCACTCAGGACGTCGTCAGAATTCACAATCAGGGAATCAATGTCACTTGCTTTGATTGTGGATGAGGTATCCAGTTTGATCACATTCTGTACTGTAACAGGAACTATACTAACAGGATCAGTTTCTGGTTTTGGAAGTAAAACACCATAATTAGCAACTTTTCTATATCCATCTTCAGAACCATTTCCACTGCAATGAGCATTTTTATGCCCTTCGGAATCACTATCAGATTTCTTATTTTCTGCGATAACGCAAATATTTGATTTAAATAAAGAACTATCAATTTGGAATTCACCTTTTAAATCTCTCTATATTTTTTGCCAAATTCTGTTAACTGGAGCTCTGCCGACTTAAGTTCAGGAAACCTATCTTCTTATGTATATCTTCTCGGATTAGCGTTACTTGACTACCAATATCTATTAAAGCATCAGTTTGCAAATTACCCAAATTAACAATTTTATGCATTTCTTTCT